TTATGAACATGATGTATTATGTGATGTTCAGAGGGACCAACAAATGGCGTTAGCGAAACCTGTACAGGTCAACTTGTGAAGACTGTGAATTCTTGTAATTGTAGTGGCCTTGTACCACCTTGCAACTTCACAAGAGTTCAAGGTCTCAGCAAAATGAGACGTGTTTGTCGGACATAAACAAGAAAAAGAAGTTGCGGGAGCGCAAAATGCCCCCTCATAATACACCATTATAGTGGGGGGGAGTGTTTCTGCTGCGGAATTACTCTACAGTACGCTGCGGATGCTGGAGTATGTCGGAGGAGCGGTGTGGGGCAGCGCTAGCCCTTTTCCTACCGACGTCGCTTCCCCGCTTCAACGATTGGTGAATGTTCGCTCGCAAATTGAGTTGTATTAGGTTGTCCCATATTCTTTTTGCTTGGAGCGGCTGGAGAACGGGTTGGCGCAGTCCCGAGCCCAGCCCTCTCGCACGCCCTGGCATCCGCAAACAGAGACCATTCGTTGAGGTTTTTGCAAATCATATCTTTGTTTGGAAATTTCAGTGCATCTTCTTCTGAAATTAGAAAATGTTAGAAAAATGCAGAGAAAAATAGACTGTTATTGAGCAGCCTGCAGTCATCGTGAGCTCTGCCTCTGTTGGTATCGAGTGGTTACCCTTTTGGGAGCTTTTTCGGCCTGTAGACGTTGGTTTTAATAGGTCATTCGGCTCTTTGATGGCACTATTTGATGCCTTTCCCCATATACTAAACACGATGTGCCGGCGCTGTTCGGCTTAGTAAGCGCTTTTTGCGGGTCCGCTAGTTCGTTTTGCTAGTTCATGTAGAGACAGGTCTCATTTTGGCGAAACCCGTACACTCCTGGGACGTCGCGAAAATTAGGCCACGTTGATTACAAGAATTCATAGTTCTTCACAAGCTGACCTGCACAGGTTTTGTTTATCACGATTTGTGGGCCCCCACCAAGTAGAACTGCGCCCAGCATGGCACATAATACACCATGTTCCAGTCAAGAACGTTCTAGTCCAAGAAAAATTTTTGGAGGAACGCCACCTGCGAGGTACATCCCTCCCAAAGTATGAGGTGATCAAGTCCACAAGAAGGCCTTTCTGCTGTGGAATGGAACTGGATGGAACAGACAGTCGAATGTTTTTTTACAAGTCCAGTCGCGCAATCCGCCATAACTCTAGCCGGGCTGCTCACTGCGGGATATAATTTCCTCAAGGACCACAGCGAACGTGTTGCCTGGCACGCTGCCAAAAAGGTACTGGAGAACAATGCCCCCCTAGTCAGATGTGAGCAAGCGCAGGCGATCGGCTCTGGCCAGACGTATGGCTAGTCACCGCGACATATGTGACTGTGACATGATGTTCTTAAGGGGTCATAAAAGCATATCCACCAGTCCCTGCCCTGCAGCTCCATTCCTATGCATTCCCGGATTTCGAAATTTTCACGACTGAGGACGGCTGTGGACCTGTTCGTCTCGCATATGGAATAGGTCTATCCCGCAGCTG